AAAGATACCAAAGCACGTGGCACCGCCACGGTCCTAGTTTATTCTTGTAATTTTTTTATTTTTGTTTTTACTTTTCCCCCTGCCCTGGAGATGCTCAATGCTTAATCACCATTTCCTTCTTCTTTATTTACCCTTTTTTTTTAAAAAAAAAAGATTTTCCTAATTACTACTGATACCATACATTGTCAAAAGATTTTTTTTCTTTAAAAAAAAAAAGAAGAAGAAGAAGAAAGACTCTTCTTTCTTGGGCTCCATTATTTAGATTAGCTGAGCTAAAAAAAAAAATTGGACCCTCTAGTGTCCCAATCTCGTACTACAGAATAACACCTTAATCATAATAATAATTATTGTTGGACTGGAGGACCTGTATATATATATATTTCTACGTAATTGATAAGTATGTATTTGTCCTTATTTTCATTATTATTGGCTATTGCCAAGCCCACCACAACAAAATTCTACAACTAAAAGGCATGTGGATGCCCTGTGGAGGTGCTGTACCTTGATCATTGGGCACACCAGACATCAGACTGACTGAAAACCAAATTCTGTGGCCTTCCTTGCAAATTCAATTGTACTCTTTATTAGTTGTAAGATGGAGATTAGACGGAGGGAATGGGACTTCTCTCTTATTGGATTGGATGATGATTGACATTCTCACCAATTTTTTCTTTGAAAGAAAAAGAAAAGAGAGAATGATGATTGACTGCAGTCTGCATCTGTATCTGGATGCCGCTAATGATTTGTTTTAGTGGAATCGCTTTGATTTACTCCTGTGTCAAATTAATGGACCAAGTTTCTTAAATATTAGTAGTAGGGTTAATTTGTCTCTTTGGGGCACTAAATATGGGTAATCATTTTAGAATGTTCATAGTTAATTTGTTTTTCCTTTTTAATATTCTTGTTTGGCGCCTTTAGAGCATCAAATAAAAAAAAATCATATTAAATTATGAATATATAGTCATACTACATGATCTACAAAAAGATGAGCAAAAGAATATACTAGAAGCATACGCTAGGCTTTAGCCCACGGTAATTACGGAGGCCAAGCACTCTTAAGTTTTGATGACTATGATATGGTTTATGAGTTCTTCTAGTATATTTGTTGAAATCATTTTTAGGAGAATTATATGTATATATATTATAAATGAGAGAGTTTGAACCCAAGGCATCTTATCACCTAACTCAACCCTTCCCTCCTTCTGTCAATTGATTTTATATTTGATAATAGATATATAAAAAATTCACCAAAATAAAATGTGCAAATAGATAATTATTTGGTGGTAAAACATAGCCATAACTAGTGGTTGCTATAATAAAACCTAAGATTTATTAAATAAATTAAGAACGGAATAATAAGAAGGGTTTTTATAAAGGCACCCATTACCACACCTAGTATTCATTTAACTTACCATATATATATATACACATATTAACAATTATTATCCTCTCATTCCTTTATACAACTTTTCTATTTAATCTTGCTTACCCCTCTCCCTTGTATTTATTTACTTTACCTAATTAATCTTACATTTTCAAAAAATATGATACTTGACATATATTTTAACGAGTGCCCTATGGGCATCCATTAGACAAACCGTAAGAGAAAAATATATGTTATTTGTTAGCAGGACGTGTTGAGTTAATCGTTATCAGGGGTAATTTAGGAAAAAAAGCATATGATGATAGAATTTTCTTTTACACCAAAATCCCTTCCTCCCATTATACATAACAAGTATATATAGTATAGATACAAATATAGATATAGATATAGTGTATAGATTTGTTCACATAAACAAGTCAAAAATTAGAGTTTAGTATATCACAGGTCTGAAATGCAAATTTATAATAGGATAGAGTTCGATTTCAATGATTGTACGTCTCTTAGTGGTTTGGCAGACGTAAGTTCTATGTGGTATTTTCGTTTTTTTTTTTTTTTCATTCTGGGGGAACTAGAAGAGGTTCTTATCACGATATATTTTCCTGGCACCTAAAAAGAAATCAAATCAAATACGTGAGTTTCATTTAGATTTCGAATTCTTTCAGCTTTCAACTTTCGTCCGAATCATGATAAATTGGACAAGTGAAACTCTTAAATATCTGAAAATTTACAACATTCAGTTTGAAGCAAAATCTTCAAATTTGCCATGTGAAACGAAGGAGCATGATACATGGTAAAAGAAAACTTCTTTAACAGAATAAAAGGAATGCTATTAATGAATTGGTCACTCGATTAGTAATTGTTTGTGAAGGAGTGGGCAAGGTACCAACAGGGGTTGGTCCGAGTGGTAAGCGGCTCGGATTCGCTTAAGCAGATCTCGTGTTCGAGTCCTAGTGTACGCAGACACCCCTGTTGGGAGACTCACCCACCATAGCCAGGTGCGCGACGCGGGTCGGGTCCGGATTAGTCGGGGCAAAGTTTCGGATACCGGGCGGACAACCAAAAAAAAAAAAGGAGTGGGCAAGGTTGGATATTTGCCTTGATCCTATTGCCACTCATCTAACCTTTTCAATAACTAGTATTTTGTATCGGCAATTATTTTACACCAACCGTACGTATTGTATTCCGGCATTGCCCCAGATTTAGTACTTACTCAAATCTACTGCTATTTTAGTTTTCATTTTAGTGATAAAAAATCATCTTACATTAGACAAATGAAATCTTATCCATTTGGATGGCAAGTTTTTAGAGTTTTTATAAAAAAAAATATATTATAACGATATATGATATATGTGAGATAAAATAGTAATTTAAAAATGCATCATGAGAATATTTTAGGTGAAAACTCGTAATCCGAACAAGTTTCTCAAAGCAGACGCGTTTTCAGGGTAAGCAAATTTTTCCAAAGTAGTCAAGTGGTCAGCTAGGGCAGTACACTTGACGATTAAGATAAATTTATTCCTTCAAAGCTTCTGATTGACTCTTTAGCAGTAGTTGTTGTCTTCGCCATTATTAGGGTACGATTAAGAAGTCAGATTTAATGAGGTTCTCACAAAAGTGAAACATTTGCCAGCAAAGAAGAATAGGTGACAAGTTTTGAAGTACTTTTTCTCCCATTGCTGGGAAAGTGCACTCGTATAAGTCGAATAACTTGTGAAAAAAATGTAGTCTCCCAAACTGTACTGTCCCTTTAGTCTTTTAAAGTAGTACGGATGATGGATTTAATCAGCAAATTTTCGATCGATACTGACTGACGGTTTTAGATTGACTAGGGAATTTGCAAACACTTTTGGTTTCAATCCCTCTTCTAAGTGGAGATTAAATGGAGATACACACTATATAAACGAAATTTGACATTGAGACAATTTTGACAAATGTTTCGGTATCCACTATCCACAATGTTTCTTTTTTCTTTTTTTAATGTTTCGGTATCCACTATCCACAATGTTTCTTTTTTCTTTTTTTTTTTTTGGACGGGGGGTGGTGTTGGTTGGGGGAGGAACTCGTGATTTACTTTTAGGACTTATTGTAGATTGAATTTTTTGTAGAGATAGCAAATCAACTCATTTAATTAAATTTACCCATATCCGCCCATGAATAGATGGGTATGAGTATCTTAAATTTTTATATATGGGTATAAATGGGTTACCCAATAATACCCATTTATTAAATGGGTAACCCATCAAACCCAATTAACCCATTTAGAATTCTCTTTCCCTAAATCTCTTCTTTTCCCCCACCCATTTTTTTTTTCAAACTTTTCATTTTGTCATGATGTTAAATACTTTTGTTTCATTATTATTATTATTTGTTGGTTTTATTTTATTATTTTATTTTCTCTTAGTTTGTTAACTTGCTCATTTTTCAGCATTACCAATTTATGATAAATTTGAGCCTCTTTTTTTTATCTTTCTAAAATGAAATTTTAAATTTATATATGGAAAAAATGTTAGGGGTTCAAAATTTTTGGATTAAATTTTTATATTAACTTTTATAGTACTTAGTTCAAATTTTTATATTCTTATTATTCAATTATTAAATAATAGATAATTTTGTGAAATAGAGTATAAATGAAAAAAAATTGGTAATTAGGTTTATTGAACATTATAAGTAAATATTTAAAACTAATGATAGGTACAAAAAGTGGTATAAATTGATAACTTAGTTTGCAAAAATGAATTTAAATGAATTTACAAAAAATTAAAATAAATGGGTTATAAATGGGTAATTGGATTACCCAATTCATTTTTTGACTTACCCATTTATACCCATTTAATTAAATGGGTTGACTCACTTATACCCATTACCCATTTTACCCAACCCAAACCCGCCCAAACCAATGTAATATTCCAATCATAAAAGCTAAGGACCAAATCAACTCATATGACAAAGATTCGAGGCCAAAACAAAAATAAATTCATCTCACCAATTTTAATGCGGATTCTTCCATTAAAAGTTCTAAAGCTATGCGTACTATATATATATATAGCCTTTGAATGCTATGGCCAATCAATAGCGTAAATTGGAGATATCTTCCATGTATAGATGCTGAATCGAAAAGTGTTAGTCCAATCAAGGCTTGAAGAAAGAGCTTGAGAACTAATAAGGCCACATGCATTGGAGGAGCACAAACATTTTTTGTCTCGATGCTTTTGTATTCATTCCCCAGAGGGAAGGTCATAAGATTGACGAATTAAATCCTTTTTTTTTTTTCTTTAAATTACAATTAAATTTTTATATATAGTAGTAAAAAGGAGCGGTTTGGAGCTTCTCTCTCCAAATATATCATTTGGATTTTCCTTCTTTATTGCATTAAGATTTCTCCCCACCCCCCTAAGCCGGCAAATAAGAGATTACTTGTGACTTTGGTTTTTCTTGAAAGTTCCTACAATAGCAATAACTAACTGCGCAAGCATAAACTGCCAGAATAATGTAAAGAAATTCCCAATTGGCCAAGGTCCCTTGTCAGCACCCCAGTCCCCACCCCCCCTCCCTTCTCTCTATATATATATACATATAAATACACCCGCTTTCTCCCTCCTTATAATGCACTCCCAAACAAAGAATTCAAAGCCTATTTTCATACCACCAACTTTCTTCTCCATTAATACACACTCGAACAGCGAAAAGGGTTCTTCTTTTCGTCTCTTCTTCTTTCTTTTTTTTTTTTGTTGTTTTTTAAAGGAGTTTCAATATCATAAGGTTTATCACCATAGATACACACCATCCCATCCTTAACCTTTTTCCTTCCCTCCAAAAGATAATCGAAGAGGAAAATGGGTCTAAGAGACATTGGAGCAACTTTGCCTCCAGGTTTCAGATTTTACCCTAGCGACGAAGAATTGGTATGCCACTATCTCTACAAAAAAATTGCAAATGGAGAGGTTTCCAGAGATACCCTAGTGGAAATTGACCTCCATACTTGTGAGCCATGGCAGCTTCCTGGTAGGTCTTCTTCTTCAAGACATCAACCTTCTGTGTGTGTCTGAGTATGTGTGTGTGTGTGTTTGGGCTGTGCGCGTTACGGCTTCCCCTAGTAGTAGTATTTGTTTTCCCTTCCTCGTTTTTGGCCTTATGAAAGATATGCTAGTAATTGTGACGACGGACAGAAATAATTTAGGTGGCATCAGATTCTCTGTGTTTTGTTGTTTTGAGGAGTCGGAAAAGGCGGTTTTGGTTATATGAAACAAGCACACGTGTCACCGCAGCTGTTTCAGAAAACAAACAAGATAACAGTAGTAGCATAAATCTAAACAATGAGTGAGAGACAGAGAGGGAAACAAAATTGCCAGTTTTGTTAATCAATCGATATATATCCTGGTCGACAAAGAATTTATATCATGATTCGATGGCGTGGCCGGAGGCGTTTGACATATATATGGTGTCCATTTTAGTAATTGTTTTAGCTCTAAAGGCAACCTAAAGCCTTGCTCTCAATGGTTCATACTTTGTTAATTGATCAGTTTGTGCTCGTGGTTTGTCTTAGGCTTGTTCCATTTCTCCTGAGAGCAAGAAAGAGCACAGGAAAATAAAAACCTTCTCATAGTGGATTGGGGATGCATCTGTTGGCATGTCAGAGAAGTTAGTGCTAGGAAATTCGTGTTACGTACTCGAGAAAAGAAATAAAGTTGTGATGTATAAATACTGGGAAATTCATGTGCAAGATGGAGTGAATGAGAAGGAAGGTGGAGGGTATTGGGAGTTTTGATTCCTGAGAGTTCATATTTTGCCATCTATTACATACTTCCAAAACAGACACATATGATCAGGCAACTGACTGGCATTTTGGGACGTTTCTTTTTTTGTTTTGGGGGGGGGGGGGGGGGAGGAATGCATTTGACATATACATATGTATGTGTGTATGTATATATATACACGGTGTTATAGATCGCATTAGCAAGTGCTTTAGACATTAGCTAGGACAACTTCGGAGAAGTTCAAGGAGCATCAATGTCCAAACGCCTCATCAACTTCACACGTCCCTGGAAAGTAACCTTTGGGGGCCGGGCACCATATTAGTTAGTAAGATGAAGACATCTTTTTTCTCTATTTTTTTTTTTAAAAAAGGGGGGGGGGGGGGAAATTGTTGTAAGGTTATACAATGAATATTCAGAATTAATTTCCTCTATCGATCACTTTCTTTATGATCGATGTTCTATCCATTCACTCTTTTTCTTGTTCCAGTTAATGGCAATTAGCATGGGCGAAGGAATATGATTCCTCTTGTCCCACTAATAATAGGTGACCCCAATCTATATTAGTCATGCCACTAGCCCCTCTAAGCATATCTTCACTTTGAAAAAAAGGCCACGGCATGTGGTCCAAGCAAAAAAAAATTTCATTTAAAGGAGCAGATTATAACATACATGGTAAGAAGATTCTGATTTCCAAAAATATATTTTTAATGCCGTGTCTTTAACAGTGCGTGCGTGGATTCAATTTTATTTATTTTTTTGTTGTATTTGGGGGACGGACGACTCCCATATATATAAGCTATAAGTCATGGACACTTTTGTTCATGAGTCACTGCTACAAAGTGACTCAATCTTTTTCCTAAAGGGCATGAAGGTAAGGACACAAATTTGACATGGACTTGGCACCATCCAACAAGTCCTCGATCAAATCTGTTCAGGAAAAAAAAAAAATCATCAACCATTATTATTGTATTGGCTGTTTGTCAAAAAAGTCGAAAGTTAGCTTAAACACATGCATTGAGAATCCCGTAGTGATCACCCTTCAGCTCTTTTCTTGGCCCAAAATAAAATTGAAAACAAAAAAGTTGCTGCTTGTTTGGTGATAATTGACACGCACCATTATTTGTAAAATATGTTTTTTTCTGGTCTTCAGATGTGGCAAAGCTGAACTCAAACGAGTGGTACTTCTTCAGCTTTCGGGATCGCAAGTATGCAACCGGCTTCCGAACTAACAGGGCGACAACCACGGGCTACTGGAAGGCAACCGGTAAAGATCGTACGGTGCTGGATCCCACGAGAAGAAGCATAGTAGGGATGAGAAAGACGCTGGTTTTCTACAGAAATAGAGCTCCAAACGGGATCAAAACGGGTTGGATCATGCATGAATTTCGCCTCGAGAACCCTCACGTACCACCTAAGGTATCTATCTTCAATTTCTGCTGTTGCATGTGCTTTTCGAAGGCCAACAACTAGAACTGGCTAGCAGTGTAGCACTACTATTTTACTAGTATTAATGCTTGCTTCCAATATTTGTTCAAGATTACACGCGTAATTCTGATCATGAGCCCAAAAACCCTCTCTTTTTTTTATAAAAAAAAAAAAAAAAAAAAAAAATCTCTTTTCTTGATTTTAATCATCATTTTTTTATGTATCCAAGAGGACTCGATCTTCTGTTTGTAAGTGGATTTGAGGGAGTCTCTAGGATGGAAAGCGTAGAGGGGACAACATTGACGTAAGAAACTTAATCGGAATCCTACTGAAGCAACACAGCTAGCGTATTTTAATCTCTGGATATCCTACAAAATTCGATCTTCTACTGTACTGCTTGACTTCCCTGCCTTGTTGCGAGCGGTAGCAGTAGCAGTAGCAGTAGATTATCCATCAAATAGTCAGGAGGGCTGCCACTGCTGCTTGCTTTTATTTGCAGGACGCAATGATGCGAGAATGGACGACGGACCACTTCTACTGGTTATTCATGCACACTACTGCTACTACGTACTACCCTGTCTGTTTGGTTGGCAATGGCATATATATAGCTTATTATTGTCGTGTCGCTCAAGTCAATTGTTTCTTAAAACAATAAAAGTGGATGTTGGTTATTTAATCAAATAAATATGATGGATTTTAAATATATTCCTAGAGACTGGTCAGGTAGGCAGCTAGGGTTGGATATAAAAGTTGTGACTTTCTTGGTAATTAATATGAGATTATTTGTCTTGCAATATACACATGTAGTACTAGTATCTATTTGTCCTAAATTAAAGTTCCAATATTTTCAGGAAGATTGGGTGCTGTGCAGAGTATTTCACAAAGCCAAAGTCGAAAGCGCCGATAATGACGTGTATGATGCGACGGCTGCTGGTGGTGGCTGTGGCGGAGGGGGTGATATTTCTCCCACTTTCGCTGCGTCTCCTCCCAATATTGATCATTGTACGACGGGAGGCTATAACCAGAATTCTTCGTTCTCCCAAAGTCCACCCCATCAAAGCCAGAACTCCAGCAGCACTGCTGCTCTTCCAAACATGATGTCCGCTGTGTTGAGTCGCAATTATCTCCAGTCGTCATCTCAGGAATTATGTGTAACTCCGTCGCGGAATGATCAGATGGTGCATTCCAAGTCGGAGCTGGATGAGTATGGATTTCTCTTTAACATGAACTTTGGAGAAGCAAATTTGAGAGATGGAGGAGTCCCTTCAGGTCTTGAGGAAATGCACTTTGACGACGACAGCAGCCTGGTTTTCATTTAAGAGTGCACGATTATCTTAGGAGGCGGATAAACAAAAAAAAAATTAAAAAAAAAAAAAAAAAAAAGATGTGTTAATGGATTATTCATTATGAGGCCTAGTCGTGTCCATGAGTTTGATTCTTCACAAGATTGATTCTACAGAATTTGAAATGCATGCACGTAGCTAGTGATATCTGTATATAGGTTTATGCAATTGCGTCAAAGTTAGTGCTAAAATTTGTAGTAGTAGTAGTAGTAGTAGTAGTAGTAGTATTCTAGATTGCAGGTATGTGAATTGTGATGGACAAGTCAGGTAAGTAAATATTTACTACGTACACTCTGTAAATTCAAGAATATATATTACTCTGTTTGTGTTCATTATTCACTTTGTCTGTTTTTACATACGTATTAATTAAATCCTAGCTCGTTTCATTTCATTTACTGGAAAAGGTTGAAACGATTCCATTTTGCAGCATGACATGATATATGAAAAGGGATGGGATGCGCTGTCAAGCTTTTTATTATTTATTGCCATTTGCCGCCACTGATTCTTTGAAACCTGCTTCCAATTTTGTGCGGATGTTCCCAGAGGTGGGATTGGGACTAAATATGAAAGTAGACGGAAAGCCGAGGGAGGGGAAGGTCGTCGATGGTCAGACCGGCGGTACAAATATTTGGATGGAGATCACTTCATATGTATCCTAATTATTACTACTACGTATAAAAACTATTTTAATGAATACATAGGTATGTATTCTCTAAAAAAAAAAAACTTTTAAGAGCTAATTTTAACAAGAAGATTACCAAATTATCCTCATGTGCCACATAAATGAATTTTTGTGTTAAGTAGATAATTTTTAATATAATCTAGAAGTGTTTGTTTTATGATTAGTTAAAAGGTAAAATGTGCTAATCCACTTTTTTATTTGAAATCTTTAAATTGCATAAGACATTTCCAATTTGATAGTATACAATATGATGAATGAACTTTCTCCTTTCCTTTTTATTTTCCTCAAGAAGGTGAATCATATTGAACGAACACTTTTTTCAGAGGGGGAAGAAAAGAAGAATATGAAGAAGAAAGAAAACCTTTTCCTCTGGCGATCAAGAACCCGCTTTTGGGTGATTGAGAACATGTATGTACACTTTCCACAAAGAGTCGGCTTTGAGGCGTACGATTTCAACGGATAAAGTTAGCTCGTAGCTGCGGGGGACCCGACTACATTTCCCTGCTTGCCGCCATATTTTTTGGTTCTCAAGAAAAAGAAAGAAAAAAACAGAAATAAGGAAAAATTGGCATTTCATTGTTTGTTACTTCTGTTTGATAAAACTGAATCTGAATTCTGAAATCTGAATACTGAAACAATTAATTTACTGAATTTTAAGTATTGAAAAGAAATATATGAATGTCTAAATTTTAATGTTAAATCTATTTATACTGTTTGATAAACATTTATAACAGAATACTTAATAAGTTAAATTTAACAAATTTGCCGTTATATCTTTTCATCCAAAAAAGAAATAGAACCTATAATTTAATTAGCTAAAAATGTTAGGTATGAAAATGACAATATTTATTTTTAAATCAAATTAATATAAAAGATGAAATATATTATATGAGGAGTATGGAGAAGATGTGAAAATCATTCAAAAGGGAGAAAAAAGAAATAGAAAATCATTAGATACAGAATATTATATTGTTTAATTAGATAAAAATTTTGAACATAATTAATAAATAATGGTAGATTTAGTAGATAAAATAAGGTAATTGAAATAATTCTATTGATTCCTATCAGAATTAAGCATTCAGTTAGGATTCTTGTGTTGAAAAAAATTCACTCAAGTTCAGCATTACTTAACAAGTTCAGCAAATGGTTTTTCATTTATCAAACACTCAAAACATCTGAATGTCTGAAAAATTTCAGATTTAACACTTTTTTATGGTATCAAACAGACCAAATTAGATGTAAATGCTTTCTTCCTTCTTCTTTTTTTCCTACTATGCAGTCATAATAGTTATTTTTTTCTTTGTTAGCAGAATTCAAGTAAAAAAGAGTAAAAAAAAAAGGGTGATAAGTTATAACTAAATTGAAGCAAAGAAGTTTTATATGACCAGAAACATTCAAGAACGTTTCCCAAAAAAAAAAAATCGAAGAAGAGGCGCTGACGCGGGATATGCCGCTAACAATTTCCTTTCTGATTCTGAATGAATAAATAAAGCTCAACCGCCATAAACAACAGTGCAAGAGCACACTTCTTAGTTCATTCCATCATTCATCTTATTTATTTAATTTTTTTCCGTCAATCGAAAGTAAAACAAGGAAGGATCAAGAAGGGTCCTCGCTGCGAGTGGTAGTACGCATGGCTGGGACTAAGGGTTTTCAATCTGGGTACAACAACGAAGCGTTTGGCTTTGGATTTCAACTGACTTTCTAACTCGGTCCAAGAATTGACGCTGTAACCACAGTTAATTCTTGCCGGTAGTACCTCTTATACGGTATCCTTAATCCTATATGTTTATTACTGCTGCTTAGTTGCTGTCAACTTGTTCTGATTTTTGACCCCTTATCCCTTTCATATGGTTATGGTTCAATAAATTTTGTAAGAAATATATGCATGCTTTTTCTTTTATTTTTTTGGCTTGTTCTACTCTCTCTCGTATTTGGGACAAGACCCATTTTGGTATTGTCCACAACCATCTTCTGGGCTGCTGTCAGTTTATTCTGATTTGAGGTACAATTTAGGAATAATTGATAATTTATGTTTTAAATCGTCTGCATTTTTTGCTACTTTTTGTTCCTCCTCCTTTCTTTTTGTTGTTAACTAATTAATTTATTACCTGTTCAGACTTCTGCTTCTTGCCCTTCCCACTACGGTTCATATTCTGTGGCTGATCTTAACTAGTATTTTCTATTGTAATTCATTGATGCTCAGTGCAGACAAGCAATCCCTTTTCCCCTGCCCCACCTCCTCCGCGGGTGGGCCGGTTGCTTTTTTTTTTTTTAAGTTGTTTCTTGATGGCATACAGAACCAGAGGAGTTGAAAATATTAAGTCATTAGTAACTAAGACATGCTAAGTTGCATACATAGTGGATAGATACTAAACAGTGTTTATATACATTGATCAGCATACAGCCAATCAAAGATAAGATTGTGTATAGCATGATGTGGTTTAACGAACTTATGTATTAAAACTCCATGACTGTGTTGATATAGCTCGATCAGCCTGCAGTTCTTGTTTATTTATGATTTCAGTATTTTCTACATTCTTAGGGAGACCTGATATATATGTCTTGGAATTAAAGGTTGTCTTCTTATGAACTCAAACGACGATCTCCTTCATTTTATAAAGCTGGCATAAACTCTTAAGGTTGGGAGCACTATGAACACCTGATCAGTTCTTGAGACATTTAAATAAAATAAAATAAAAAAAAAACTTGTATGAAACATCAACCTTGCCTTATTCTGATACTATGCATTCTTCTTGGGCCTAAAGGCCAGGGTAGAATGCTCCATTCTGAGGAGTTACAGAGTTTCTTGGGTGACAACATTACTCTTTGCTAGTGCAAGATCCACATGTTGATGCATCATCATCACTTCTTTAAGCTGGTGTTGCTCCAACTTTGCTGAGAAGGGAAACGTTTCTGACATTATGATGTCCTTGGCGGCATCTCATCTTATATAAGTTATGTTGGCAATTGAATAGCATTCTGAGTTTTTCTGCAAAGCTGAGATGTAAGAGGAATGGTTTGCTATTCTTAAATTGTCAGAGACTATAGAAAAAGATTTGGAAATCATCATGTAATAGTATCCATGGATGTGATGATTGTAACTGCAAGCAGAGATTTATGTGAGGCATGTTATCTGTGTTAAAAACTATGAACAGTTAGATCTTTCTCTGAGTTCATCTTATTATATAAGAAAGAGAAATTGGACTTTTCTCTGAATTCATCTGTATTGTTCAGTGAATAAAATTATAAGTTACTTAGGGCCAACTTCGAATGTGTTGCACACCAGGTTCAGATAACATCTATTATCCTGTCATTCTCTTTCTAAGCTTGTACCATAGGATGGTTATTAATCTAACAGTACAATCGGAACATTGTATATCAATTAGCAATCTTACTAGTCGGCACTTTTTCTGGATGTTTTGACATTTCTTATAATGTGAAGACTGTTGATTAAATATGAAGTATTAATTAATTTGACATTTGTTATAATGTGAAGATACATTTTTAAACAAAAGAGGATTATATGAAGTATGGTAAGAAGTTACCAATTATCAATCTTTGATATGCGAGGTTTTGTGACAAGTCTATTTTTTTTGTCAATTCTTTCGTTGTAAGATAGTAGATATTAGAAGATTGTTGATTAAATATTTCAAATATCCAATCTTCATTTTGTACATTCTCTCTGCATGGTTTATCATTTGTCGGTTCTTTCCTCCTCCTTTCTTCCTTCTTGTCTCCTAGACATAAATGGTGATGTAATATAAGAGATATTGACTGGTCAACAACTTAATGGAATTAAGACTATTTCTCAAAAGCACAATAAGGTTTATAAAGAACGAGCATGATCCAATAACTATTGCCCTGCCAATTTTGTGCTTGTTTTTTAGAAATTATTTAAGACTAGAATTTTTCATATTTGATATATTCTCTTATTACAGTGAGGATAGAAACAGCAGACACCAGATCTATGAGAAATGACAGAAGACACTAGATCTATGATTAATGACAAGGTTGAGAAGCTCTCAGTTCCACCTGGTTTTGTGTCGCTGTCGTCCTTCACACTGAAGAATTTATCAAGTAATGAAGTGGCATGTTCTTCGATGGCAGTTGGGGATGCGTTTCAAACAGAGCTAAGCCCAGTGGGCTTTACCCCCACCATGGACAATATTGCAATGTTCAAGAGTAATCTCAGTCATAGACCATGGATTCTTTATAATCAATTTGATTACAAGTCAAATGAATCTGATTCTGAACTTGAAATGGTCATTGCTCTTCTTTTATCATGTTTTTCCAATTTCCAGTTGACAATTTATAAGAATTTTGAACCTATTGCTGAACTATGTTGCATGTAGGTTGATAATTAAGGGTAGCATTTAGGTAAGTTTGAACTTCAGGTCTGTCATTATACATGCTCATTTTTGCATGGCTTATGCTTATAGATACAGATGTTGTGATGTGTTGTTGAAGAGAAAAATTATGAGCTTTTCCTTTGTCTTTAGTTAGAGTTTTTTTTTTAGTTTTTTTTTATATTTCGGCTTTGTTAATTCTGGTTCTGATGATTGCTGGAAGACAAGAACATACAAGAAGGGTAAGGGAAAACTTTGGAGAGGTCTTTTTCCATTGATGGTATGAGGAGCTTGGAAGGATGAGGAGAACAATGATGGCAATATTTCCCCCCCTAAAGTATTATACCTAACATGGATTTCAACCATTATGTACTCAGCAATATTGTTTGGTCATTGAGGAACTATTAGGAGTTATTAACTAGTGCAAATATGACTTATGTTTTACTAAGTAATTTGGTGTGTGCCACATAGTCCTGCTTGTCTACATGGAAAGAGAATGCGAGCAATTTAAAGGAAGAGACATTAGTTAGTGGCTTAAGTGGTAAGATATACTTGGTGGTTTGGCAGAGCTAACTAGATTAAGAGATTACTTTTGGCATGTCACACTAGGTGGAGTTTTCCATCTTCTTAGTGCTACTGGATTTAGTTATGAGTTGTCTTTGTGCTGGTATGGTACTCTTTATAGTGCTGTGCTGATAAAGATTAAAGTCTAAGCATCATTGTTTGATGACTTTACACTGTTAGTGTCTTTTTATGTCAACACAGGAGAAATGTATGGAGCTTTCCTTTTTGTGTGAATTTGACTAGTTCTGCTTCACTTCATTGTTGCATATTTTAATACATAGCTGACTTTTTAGGGTTTTCTCTGCATATATTGCTTATTCTGTATGAGTTTCAGTAATGTAAATCTGATAGCTACTATGGGAATGCAGAATTTTCCCTTGAGAGCTTGCCTGCCTAAAGGAGTGGTCCGAGGATGTTCAAGTTGTCCTAATTGCCAGAAGGTTTATCATAGTCAATTATTTGAATTTCAATTTGGGGAACTGTTAATCATGAGTTTTTTTAAGTTTAGACATTGCAAAGTATTGGGACTTAAGCTGGATTGCCTTAGTTGCTTTGATGCTCATATACGTCTGAACTTTTGGAAAGGTTATTGCTCGGTGGCATCCTGAAGAATCTCATAGGCCTGTACTTGAAGAGGCACCAGTATTCCAACCTAGTGAAGAGGTAATATCATTCTTTTCTGCCTACCTTCTGCTTCTATTTTACATTGTTCAGGATGTGGTGACTTTGTGAGCTTTGAATTTTTTGCAGGAATTCAAGGAGTCACTTGAATATGTTGCAAGAATACGTCAAAAAGCAGAGCAGTTTGGAATATGCCGAATTGTTCCTCCCCCATCCTGGAAACCACCATGCCTTCTCAAAGAAAGGAATATATGGGAGACTTCTAAATTCAAGACCCATATTCAACTGGTTAATGACCTTCAAGATCAAGGTATAAAGAGAAATCTGGATAGAAGTCACAAGGAGGCAAAAATTAAGAGGAGGAGAGTTTGGATGAGGAGTTCTGGAGATGGATCTTTGAATGAAATCTCTACAGATGCTAATGAAGCTCAATCTCAGGCTGAGAGCTTCATATCCAAATTGGGGCCCGAGTTGACTCTAGAAGCTTTCAATCGGTATGCTGATGATTTTAAGAGGCAGTACTTCTGTAAAAGGGAAAATGCTATAAATTCAGATGCTAACTTGACCGCGCATGAAGATGGATGGGAGCCATCAGTTGAAAATGTAGAGGGAGAATATTGGCGGATAATTGAAAATCCAATTGAAGAAATTGAGGTATGCTCTACACGGCAAAGCTGTCTGCTTGAATGAACCTTTTAAGTTTATCCTTCTACTTGGTAGTATCTGTATGCTCATTTGGCACTTTAGGTTCTTTGCTGTGCCAACGTTGAAACCGGAGGATTTGGAAGTGGGTTTCCAGTACATTCTAATTCAATGGGATTACCAAATTATCCTGAATATCGCGACTCATGTTGGAACTTGAATAATATTTTCAAGCTTCCTGGTTCACTCCTTGGTTATGAAAATCGTCAAGCTTCTGCAGCTTTACTGCCTCATCTTTCCACAGGGATGTGCTTTTCCTCTGTTTGTTGGGTATGATCCAAAACCTTTTAGAGTTGAATACACTTTTGCTTTTTCTGTTTTCAGGTTAGGGGCTGTTTTTTGGGTGTTTTTCTTTTCCTTTGCTTTTTGACTCGTAACTTTATATTCCCATAGTAAGATCCTTTCTGGTACATTTATTTCCATCATACTTCATTGGATTGTGATGAATTGTATTTTCTGTTTCTTGGAGCTTCACTAATATCTTCTCATTTCTCTTTTTTGTATTCTGTGAAACAGAAAGCTGAAGAGCATCATATGTATTCCCTTAGTTACATTCATTTCGGTTCCCCTAAAATATGGTACGTCATCCCAGGAGGATATTGCTACAGGTTTGAGAGAGTTGTCAAGAAGCACCTCCCGCATTGTCTTGAGCATCCTGAATTGCTGTATAAGAATGTAAGCTTTACTTTTTAATTATTGTGTAGTGAGAGAGAGAGAGCATCCTGAATTGCTATAAAAATATAAGTTTCACCTTGTAGCATTCAAGGTGGGAAGGAGGGAACATTGGGAGATAGCGAGATCAGATGTTTTTTCACTTCATATGGGGAATATCTTACAATATAGAAAGGGGGGGTCACTGTGTGGTGTAAACACAATGTCACTTTTTGAAGTTCCTAATGTACCCTTAATTATAAGGACAAATTTGTCCTAACTCATTCTCCAAAAAAAAAAAATTACCCCCATAATCAGCCAATAGCCCACTGACTATAACTTCCTCACACCAAATCCTACATATTGCCCTCAATTTCCATCTTCCATCATCTTTTCATACAATTATCTAAATTTTAAAGGGACCTGACCAATAGAAAAACTTTACAAAGAGATAATTTTGATAAGTATATGTTTAGTTAACTGCACATACATTAGGATGTGCCTTAAACACTAGTATCCAGAATATTTGTCATCCATTGACAAGGAAGATTTAACATTTAGGATGACAATGTTAAAAAATGTTCTTTCACTTCATATCTGGATAATGATGGTGTTACATTTGTTAACTGTTGACAAGGAAGATCTAACATTTAGACTGACAATCTTTAAAATTGATCGGTTGTTTGAGCCACTGGTCTATTATTTGACATCCTTCAAAAACCATCTTGCTTTGAATGTGCTAGTATTGAGAATAACTGCTATGGTTTGAGGAAATTATGATTGTCCATATTTTATTAGTGGAACTATTTCTTGAGCTTAGAAACCACAGCTTTTGATTTGAAATAGACAAAGGTCTTGTGCATTGTTCGATTGGTCACCATTTCTCACTGTTTTCAGATCTCTCAACTTTCCCCTTCTACCTTAACAGCAGAGGGCATTCCTGTCTATCGCTGCGTCCAATATCCGGGGGAGTTTGTTGTTACGTTCCCTGCAGCATACCATTCACAATTTGACTCTGGTTTCAATTGTTCTGAGACTGTTAATTTCGCTCCTTTTGACTGGTTGCCTTATGGTCAGCATGTTGTAGAAATGTATTGTGAGCAAGGTAGAAAGACATTGATTTCTCATGATAAACTGCTTCTTGGTGCTGCCATGGATGCAGTGAGGGAAAAGTGGAAATGTGAACTGCTTAAAAAGAATGCAAGTGTTTGTGGAAAGGATGGGATCCTAACAAAAGCACTCAAGGTTAGCCCCTACGGTACTTCAAATTACTACGTTTATGATGTAGTGTTTGGTGTTAGTGCTTTTTTTTTTTGTGGTACATTTGTCATGCTGCCTTCCTATCTTGGCTTTATTTATCTTTTGTGACATGCTATAGTCGTTATTTCTATAAATTTTCTTGTCTTTGTCAGTTACTTTTGGAGAAAAATATTAGAACGATAGCAAGGCAAATTTTCATCCCTGTACATTATGCAATTTGTTTCCAAAAACTAGAAGCACTTTTAGATTGTTTCTTACATCCCATTAGTATGTTCATTTGTTAGATGTTTAACCAGCACATTTTCCTTTTACTCTCTAACCAATAATACGTGCTTCACTGGCATATTTTTACTTGTACTGAAATAATCATCATAACCTGATGATAGTCCCCAACTTCTCACTCCAAGAAATAGGTGGCATGGGTACCAATTGCTACTTATATTCTCCTTTTGCGTGATTGCTTCCAAGTCACACTTTCAGACTGTTGTAAGATGAAAAGTTTTGCTTTTATTACTTCTGCTTTGTCTCAAAAAATCTCAAAAAATCTATGACATGTAGTAGATTTGTTCTCTTATGGTTATTGTTGGGTCGAGGTCTTTCCCATATGCAGATAGCTATTAGGCTTCTTGCTGATCTGGTAGTTTTAGTCGGGGTGAAAATATTATCTTGTTATATTATTTTGCTTCCGGCGTCTTGCTTTATTGAAGTAACATTTGTTTATTGTTTGATAGACCAGCTAGCCATTTCTTTTTTATTTTTGTTTTTTCTTTTTTGAGAAATCATTTGCTTCCACTAGTTTTTTTTACTAAAGTTTGCTGAAAAGTTTGTGGTACTTGAACAGTTACGGGTCAAACAGGAGGCCATCAGGAGAGAATATCTTTGCAGGGGTTTACAGTTGCAAAAAATGGAGGATGACTTTGATAGCGACAAAAGGGATTGTAGCACATGCCTCTATGATCTACATTTTTCTGCCATAGGGTGTTCATGTTCACCAGGCAGATACGCATGTCTGCTACATGCAAAGAACCTCTGTCCTTGTCATTGGACTGCCAGATATCTCCTCTATAGATATGAGATCTCTGAGTTAAATCTCCTGGTTCAAGCTTTGGAAGGGAGGTTGGACGCCATTTATCATTGGGGTAAAAAGAAACTTGATTTACGGGTGAGTTCTGATGACTTGAGGGAGTTGAGGAACCGTGGCGAAGTGTCTGCTTCTGTAAAATCTGCAGCAACCAGCACTTTATCTCAACTTCTGGGGCCAAAAGAACTAGTGACTGGACAGGTATGTAGAAAGGAAGAAGAGGAGAAATATGATTTACAGAGAATTTCTGCTGGTAGCGGTAGCAGGCAAGATACTCTGGAATGTATAGACCCAAACTTTGGCAACATAACTTCTAAGAAAGGAAAATTTGGCAAATCTCAAACCGTTCAAAATGAAGTTATTGTTCTTAGTGATGATGAGGAGTGAGTGGGAATGGATGTATGCAGAACAGTGGTCCCAATGGTCGGATTTAGGGAGCAAATCTGTATACCTGATTTAAAATGTTATAGAGGTAGCTTGCCATATCTTTGTTTGAGGTTGGCAACGTGATAAAGAAATGCAGCGTGTGGTGCTTGGAAGAAGTCTTGAGGTTTATCTGATGAGCGGTTTGCATCTGGTGGGAAGTGAGAAGGAACTCTTTTCTATGGTCCGTTGAGCATGCTTGCTTGACATGTCCAGAAAAGCAATTTGCCAAAGGGAGATTCCGGAGTGAGTTCACTGCAGAGATGGGATGACATGAAACGGAAGCAACCAAATTGTTCGGGGGATGTTCGTTTACTTTAAATCACCTTCTTATTTGGTCTTCGCGTAAATAAATTTTTGGTGGGTGCACGTGCGTATATCCTGGTGAGAAGCTTTTTATCCGTTTCAGGAAAGAGCTATAAATCAGTGACATTGAACAACTGAAAGGAACAGAAATTTATTTTCCAGGAAAAGAAAGACAAAATGCTGGCTCAAATTTCTTTGCTAAACAGATAATTTTCATTTGAACAATTGAAAGGATAGTTTTGGTTTAGCATTTTTTTTTTTTTTGGTATTTTTTGGAAAGATGGCTACAGCTAATCCCAATGCATTGTCTTGGGCGTAACGAATTCATACTTACCTAGGTTTAAGGTTCAGTAACATTGTAGACGTTTAAGTGCTAACTGCAGCCGATAAGGTGCAGAATTCGGGACTTTAGATTGTTTGCATCAGTCAAATCGAGCGAATAAGTTTATAACAAGCGATGATGCAGGAGGAAATAGAGCCAACGACCGGGGAACCATCTGATGATGTTCTCGAGGAAATGAATTGAGAGATTATAATATGTCTTCCAAAGAATTACGATAATGGTGACGAAGATGGAGGGACGTATTTTGTTAAGAGAATGGTGGGAAGCTTACTTCTAAAGACAAATACTACCGCAACATTAGCGCATTATACAAACATCAACACATGCAAACGAAGTTATACGGCTGCCTGACCAATTGGAACCCGGAAATTGCTGCTGTAATCTGTTCTTACTTAACACTACGTACCCTTTCTCAAGAACCAATCAGTAATCGTCACGAAAGGACCTCCTCCTTGGTCGGTGGTGGTGGTGGTGGAAGCGGCCGCTGTGTCATAATTAAAAGCCATCATCATCAGTCTGAAGTCTGACTGAGTAAGCCGCGGTGTGCGTGCGCTTGTAATGTACTAATGCGTATTTATTTTTTGCTTTTGTTTTGTTTTTTTCTTCATCTGGTAAAAGTACGTTCGTTATGATATTGAAGGGTTAGCCTTTGAGCATTTGACAGAAAGCCCTGCGGAGGTGAAGGCGGGGGCGGGCCGGCTTTGGAAGAGCCAGATTATTGTGACAACTCAGAACAGTACCATTACCATTATGTGAGTGTCAGTAACGAAAGAAAGCAACAGAAAAGGGCACTCATCGGTCGGGAGGGAGGGTGGTCCTGGTTTCATTCCTCCTCTTCCACATCCTGGTAGTTCCTCCTGAACCTCATCACGTTCGCTGCCAAGTTTCTGTTTAAATTTTTTTTAACCAACAAAAAAAAAAAAAAAACAAAGAAGAAGAAGAAGAAGAAGAAAAAAGTGCTTTGGTTTGGTCCAAAGGGACAAAGCAACTTTGCAAGCTTTTGGAATTTGGACTTTAGTGGCCGACTGAATGCGGAATGCCCCGTGTTTGTGTGTATTCATCATTGAATTCGGGGCAGCGAGGTACATAAAAGCTTGGAAGTGGGACGATTGACCAACGACGACGACGGCTATATGCATCATTGCGGATAATTTCAGAAACCTCCCCTGTGATTTGTAACGATTGCAGCCACCTCTCTTAGGGTTTTGAAAAATTATAGAAACCTCCCCTAAAAATGTGTTTTGATAATGAATAGTGATGCAAGCACAAAAAGTCTAATGAATGTCCTGTATTGCCCTTATTTGATTTGTTTTTGTTTTGCAACAAAACAAATTAAATGACAGAAGAAATCAAATATCAACACCACTTGCTAAGCTAACAATTTTAAGGTAGTTCTTTGCAGCGAAATTTAGGCCACATTTCAAAACATCATTTGTTTTAATGTTTGGACTTTCTTTTTTCTTCGCTTTGCTAAGTAAACTGTTTTTAACAAATGCATCCGTACTCCTAGGTTATTTATAAAATTAGGTAAGAATTCCATTTAAATGACCTAGGAATTAAACATAGAGCCTGTTTGGAATGTGAGTTTTTTAGATGTTTGTATAAAATTTTACTGTAGATCACTGTAGAAGTTGTAGAAAAACTTTTGTAAGATGAAAAAACTTTTTTTTCTTTTCCTTTTTCTTTCTTTCTTTTTCTTTGTTTCTTTGTTTCTTTGTTTCTTTTCCTTCCTCCCTTCCCCCTTCCCCCTCCCCTGTTCCCTCTCCTGAAACTGCCTCTGCAAACACATACAAACTTTTTTTTTTTTTGCTTTTCTCCTCTCCTCCCTCCCTCTCCCTCCCCCGCCACCCCTTTCTTCCCCTCTCCCCTGCTACTACCCTCTGCCCGCCACCCCTCCCACTCTCTCCCCCGTCACCCTTCTTTGCCCATCATCCCTTTCCTTCCCTCTCTCCCTCCACCTCTTCCCCCTGCCCCTTCCCCCTCCCCTGTTCCCCTTCCCGCTTCTCACCATGCCTGATTTCTTTCTTTTTTTTTCATATTTTCCCTCTCCCTCTCTTCTCCTTGCTCTTGCGGGCAGATAAAGCAGCAAAATGATTTTTTTTTTTTGGCAATTTTCCTTCTCCCCTTCCCCCGCCACCCTCACCCTCCCTCGGTGCGATCTGGTCTCGTGACCAGATGGGCCAGAAGGGAAAGGATGGTGGGGGAGGAGTAGAGCTGTTAAGTCAATCAAGTAGCTCGAAAGCTCGTTAGAGCTCGGCTCGTTAATTTTGGTTAACGAGTCGAGCTCGAGCTCGAAACATGCTCGTTTAGTTAACGAGCCGAGTAAGCTCGGCTCGTTTGATACTCGAGTAGCTCATTAGAACTCGTTAATGAAGGGCATATTTGTCATTTTAGAAATCAAAATTATAAAAATTAAAAATTATAGGTTTTTATTAAGGTTAATTTGCACGAGCTCGAGCTCGAGCTCGTGAAGCTCGACTCGTTTGTGATAAACGAGTCGAGCTCGAGCCACATGTACATTTAACGAGCCGAGTTCGAACACATTTTAAAGCTCGTTTTCCTAACGAGCTCGAGTCAAGCTCGGCTCGAATTAAACTCGAGTCGAGCTCGGCAACCAAATACTCGGCTCGACTCGGCTCGATTAACAGCTCTAGGGAGGAGTGGAGAAGACGCAGAGAGAAAAAAAAAACAGAGGGGAGGATGACAGGGGAGGAAGAGGGGGAGAGGGAAAAAGGGAAAAAAAAAAAAAAAAGAAGACCTGCACTGGAAGAGGTGATCGGCGGCGGAGGTGGTAGCTGGCGACAGAGGTGGTGGTAGGGGAGGAAGAAGAAGAAAAGGGGAAGGAAATTTTTTTTTTTTTTTTTTTTGTGTTTTGGATATTTTAAGTGTGTAGGTTAAAATTTTTGATAAGTTTTTAGGATTCCTGTAGTAAAAGTTGTTAAAAAACTAGTATAATTCAAACTTGCTAAAAAATTAGACTTCCAAACAGGCCCATAATGTATTAGATGGGATGAGATTAGAGCTGTTGGATAGAGAAATATTTGCAAAATGCAGATCACACTTTTTATTTAGAATTTGTAGAGTTGTCAAGGCTATTATAGTCCTTTCATAATACTAAGGGAAGTAAATGTGATTTTTCAAATATCAAGGGAGGTAACTGTAACTATCAGAAATTCCAAGGGAGGTCTATGAAATTTTCCCCTATAATTGTCATGAGTTGGAATGTGGACGTCTCTGACGTATAAGTAAATTTTGGACTTGAATCAAACATGACAGCAAGGAGGGCCCCAGGCCCACCACAATAGTCAATTCATTCCATCCTCATTCATGGCCTTACCATTTAAGACAAGCAATAATAGAGTCCTCGTACCATTGTCTGTTACATGGCAAGTGGCTTCACCCCAGTTTGAAGTACCCACCCTGGCCCCTGCCTCCTGCCAACTGCCTGCTTTAACTCCATTTAGTCATTTTTACCAATACCAGTACTGCTAACCCATCATTTTCGGTTTTGCTATATAAAAATGCACGAATCTGGACCCATAATGATCAGTGGTCCAAACTCTAAGGCTTATTTGCATTTGATCCATCTGAAAATCTTTACTTTTTATTTGACTGGGATCACGTGAAGGCCCAAATACTCTCAGTTTCTCATGCGTTCTATCAATCTATGCCATCTGTCCTCTGCACTCTTACGAAAGGTCTGATTATTATAGAATTCTAATCTCCAGCACAAAGGATGGAAGACCCTGTCGAATCTCAACCCCAATTGTTGCCTTTATTATGATTTTTCAAACTGATTTGAAAAGTCGAATCCAACATGAACAATTGACACTCGGACTCCCCACCCCAAAAAAAAAAAAAAAGAAGCTCTGGTGCATCCGTAGTCCTCCTGTGTTTTGAAGGATCACAAGTTCACAACCCTGTCAATGTTTGGCAATCTTTGTGGAAAACTATTTTTTTTTATAAAGTTTTTGCAAAATGTTATTGTTTATACATTTAATATTCGTCGCTACACTCACATACATCACGTTTCAAAAAATATATATATATTACAATTTTAATTTCAACAGAAAACTTCCAACAACTCTCAAAAATTCAAATCATATATATGTGTCATACATTCAAAACTATTGGTGTGAAAAAAAAAAATTATTACACCGTCGGTGTATAAAAAGTTAATCATTTTATAATCAGGATACAATTAATAATGTTAATAGGAAAGCGAAGGAAAATATGACATGAGAGAGGCGAAAAAAAAGGAAAAAGATAAAGGAAAGGAAAATAAAGTGGTGGAAAACAAAAAAAAATGAATAAATAAGGAGAAAAACAAAATAATATAGCAATGGCACTTTCGTTTCAATGAGTCAAGGAGGGAAGCAAAGTGCCTATTCTATTTAACTGAGTTGGTAAGATAAAGTGTAGATGAGGATAAATTTCACAAGGATTTAGTACATCTATCCCTGCTAGTTTTTTTTTTTTTTTTTTCAAGACTTTTCGTTGAATTAATTAAATCTAATCCCATATTGAACTCCAAAAGCCGGCAACTCTTGGAGCCAACCAGAGACTTAACTACCCAACCAAACCCCACCCCACATCTATCCCTAGTAGTGATAAACTCACTTAGTTCACGTTTGCGTATTGTACATGATTGTCATTTGGCTTGGTTTGTCCAAGAAACTAAATGGGATGTTTGAGGAAGAAAACGCTATTTAGTGATTGAATGCCCTTTTTAATGATTTTATTTATTTATTGAACAAGTACAACATATGAAGTTGAATTAATTTTATATATACTGATAATATATAAACATTATTATGATTAGATGTATGATACATGAGTAAAATTTAGATTTTAAATTTAAATTTAAATGAAATGATGATAGTGTACAAAGGATTGATTTTATAGAGTTAACTAATTAATCCACTAATTAAAGTAAACCGAACATTTGTACTAATTAAAAG